ACAAGATGTTGAAAGGTGATGCGAGGAATGTGACATCAGGCCTGATGAATAGCACTGTCCAGTTCTGTGAGATTTGATGGTTGTGGAACCAGCTGCCTGATGGCTCTTTTAACTTTGTCCCACAAATGCTCAATTGGATTGAGATCTGGTGATTATGGGAGCCACCTAAGCAAGGTAAAGTCTCCCTCGTGTTCTTGAAACCACTCCTACACAATATGAGCACCGTGGCATGGTGCATTGTCTTGTTGGAAGAAGCCATCTCCATTGGGATACGCCATCAACATGACAGGATGAACTTGATCAGCAATGATACTTAGGTATGTTGTGCTATTCAGACGTTGTTCCACACGAATTAAAGGGCCCAAATCATGCCAGAAAAACATGCCCCAAACCATAACACTGCCCCCACCAGCTTGAAGGGTTGTACTCATGTATGTGAGGTGCATGCTTTCATGCTGTTTCTGCCAAATTCTCACTCTGCCATCTGCATGATGCAACTGGAAACGTGATTCATCGGACCACATGACTTTTTTCCAATGCTCGATTGTCCAATCCTTGTGTTCCTGTGTGAATTGGAGACGTTTTATCTTGGTAACTGCAGACAGCAAAGGTGTTCGAACAGGCCTTAGGCTTCCATATCCCATACGATGCAGTGTACAGCTAATTTGCCTACAAACGTCAGGTGGTCATAATAATCTGGCCACTCAGTGTATAAAAACAGACGTGAACCATTTCCATTTAAAACTAATTAAGATTCCAAGAGCCAGTGTATCATTCCAAAATGCTTCTAGATGGTTATTACAAAATATTTTAAATCCTTTATTCCAGTCCCTGCATTCACATCTCTAGAGGAAATCTCTAGATGAATAGTACCCCATTCATCTAACTGGTTTCTTCCAAACCCCACGCCTTCCCTTCCCACTCTACCACCATCTCCATGAATGCCTTTTCTACCTCAGATCTGTCCCCAACTCCTGCCCTGGACTGAAGTTATACCAGATCACATCTGTTCTTTAACATAAGAGGACTTACATAACTTTCCATGGTGAGCCAAGTCTCTTTTTCTTCCATAATGTTTATCTTCATTTACTTACTCTTTTTAATCTTTCCTAAGGCTTGACACTTTACAACTATTGATTTTGCTCTGAAGTTTATTGTTTTGGCTCTGAAGCTTATTTTAAAGATGCTCTTGCTTTTACATATGAGAGTGCTTCTTTTGTCTGTCTGGTAGCAAATAAGAGGCCACCAAGGACAGATTTCCCCTGAGCCATGGCATCCCACAGTCGAGGAGTGTTCCTTTGTGCTTGTCCTGTGCACAAATCACAGGGAGCTTTTTTTTTTTTTTAAAGAAATAAACAACAAAGATATATTCAAGGGTCTTAGAGTTTGTAAACACAATTAGGCAAAAACCCAGAAGTGTGCTGAAGAAGAAAGGAAAGTTATAAGTTCTTATAGAGACTAATCAGTTCTGTATTCTTAGTTGGTCCAAGACACTTATCAGTTGGATGTCAGGCGGTCTGGGTGATGGATGCTAGGTAGTCGGGTCATGTAAGACCTGGCTGACCCAGAAGGTGGTATTTATAAATAGTCCTCCAGGCCCCCTCCTTAAAGCTTGTCTACTTAATCCTCTCCTCTCTCAAGACTGGAAGTGACTTGCCGTTTGAGTCTTAAAACTCAGGCTCTTTTTCTCTGAAAAATCTGGTTGGCAAAAAACTATCAAACAAAAATATTTTCAGCCAGATGATGACCAGCCATCAAAGCTTACCTTTCATTTCCAACATTTTTAGCCAAATATGCTCCCTCTTTAGAGGACCAGCTTTTCTTATTATTATTCTAAGACACCTACCTCAATAATTTTTTTCTTTTTACTAGTAGGCTATCATGGATTTCTATTTTTATGATTTATAAGGCTGTTCCCAAATGGCTGCATCTCCACTATGAACTCAGAGCCTTCCTTTTCACCCTTAAAACTACAGAATGTGGAGGGGCTCTAAGTGTCTTCTAGTCCATCATCGTTGGATGGAGCTCTGTTTTTATTTCTTTAATTTTGAATTATTTATTAAGGCTTTTCTTTGCTGATCTGGGCCAGTGACAATCATACTTTTCTGGAAGCTGCTAGGTCTGATCCAGTTGTTGCTTTGTGAGGGGAGCTCCTTCTCCAAGGCTTTTATTGCTGTAGTCTTGCCCCCACTTGAATATGAGCCTGGAACTTTAGAAGTAATTTTATTTTTATTATTTAAGAAAGGCTGGCCATAACCAGTTTGGCTCAGTGGATAGAGCATCGGCCTGCGGACTGAGGGGTCCCGGGTTCGATTCTGATCAAGGGCATGTACCTTGGTTGCAGGCACATCCCCAGTTAGGGGTGTGTAGGAGGCAGCTGATTGATGTTTCTCTCTCATCAATGTTTCTAACTCTCTAGCCCTTTCCCTTCCTGTCTGTAAAAAATCAATAAAATATATTTTTAAAAAAAGAAAGTCTGGTGTCCACTGTGGCTGGATTGGTACATAAGAGACTCTCTGTAGAGAAAGAATGAAAAGCATGCACAGAGGAGGTTGAATATTAGTGTGTCTTCTGAAAACCTTAGGCTTAAATGTCTAAGGCCCTTCAGTTTATTTTTTAAATATATTTTTATTGATTTCAGAGAGGGAGGAAGTAAGAGGGAGAGAGAGAGAGAGAGAGAGAGAGAGAGAGAGAGAGAAACATCAATGATGAAAGAATCATTGATCAGCTGCATTTTGAGCCCGCAACCTGGGCATGTGCCCAGGACCCTTCAGTCTGCAGGCCAACGCTCTATCCACTGAGCCAAACCAGCTAAGGCTAAGGCCATTCTGTTTAGATCTGAGCTCAGAATGGACTTGCTAGAGCAATAGTATCTATTGTTTTATTTCTCCAGTTGGGGAAGCTTTCTCTTAACCCCAAAAGAGACCCCCAAATGGGTAAACATATTTGTAGTAATTAGAATTGTAAGACATGACCTAAACAAGTATGTATACTTTTGACTTGCTTTTTAATTTAGTTGTTTAAAAAAGTGGAGTTTAGAAATATGAAGCAAAGAGAAAACCACCTAAATATAGAAGCACAGCAGTACCTGGCGATGTAATGAGCACAGAAGGAGAGTTTGTTAGGAATGTGCTACACTCCAGGCGGAGAGTAGCACAGCCAACACAACCTCAAAGCAGTGGGTTTTTGTGTTGGGGGGCGGGGGGGGGGGGGGCGTGTTCACAAGCAGGTGGAGGGCACAAGAAGCTAGTATACCCATCACATTCAAGGCACTCTGCTGGATAACCTTTAGTTATCTTTAGTAACTTTTCTTATATAGCAGCAAAATGTAGAAATAACCTTTCCAATGAGTTAAATGTAGTACCATTACATATATAGTGATTCTAAAAAATCGTGTTAGAACTAGCCACATTTAGAGTGTTGGCCTGTGAACTGAAGGGTTCTATTTTGGTCAAGGACACGTAACTTGGTTGCAGGCTTGATCCACAGGCCCAATTGGGGAGGGAAGGGTGAAGGGGTAGGAGGCAATGAATGTGTACCTGTCTCATATCGATGCTTCTCTCTCTGTGTCTCTATCCCTCCCTTCTACTCTCTCTAAAAAAAATCAATGGAAAAAAATATCCTCTGGTGAGGATTAACCAAAACAAAAACAAACAAAAAACTGTTGTTCAGGGTTCTCAACTGCAAGCTACCCAAACGGTGGGAAAGCCTCAAAGGCTCTCTGGGCTTTGAAAACTGACTGGCAGTGGAGGACCAGGACCCACAGCAGTGGTCACACAGCAGGAATGGCCAGATTAGCACTACCTGCTGCCCCTCCTGAAGAACTGCTGGCCTTTCCTCAGGTCCTGGGTGACTACAGTTTCGGAGCCCCAGAATGAAGTACCCAGGTGTCTGAGCCTAGTTACGTCCTTGCCTCTAGCTGCAGCAGGACCAGGAAAAAAGGTTCTGGATCTTCTAGTTGCTATAGTGCAAAGCAGTCACTGCCTCCCATTGGGGAAGGGAGGCTGCAATGTGCTGTTGGGAAGAGGATTTGGTTGCTAGACAGCAAAAGAAAAAAAAAAAGACATAAGTATATCAACTATCTGAATTGAAGCTCAGTTTCTTTACAAATATTAACCATCTTTCCCATACTTAGCCATATTAACTATCTTCTCATACTTAGCTTCCATGCATGGATAATATTAATTTTCTTTTCCTTTAATGATTTGTCCATAGTTTTTAAAAACTAAACAACAACAAAAACCTTTGTTTTCATTTGAGCTGTTTGGTTCTGCTGTCAAAATGTATATTTTTCTAGATTTCTTTTTTTGTTCTCTGAGTGTCCTTTTTAAAAATATACATATTTTTTGCCGAGGCTGGTTTGGCTCAGTGGATAGAGCGTCAGCCTGCGGACTGAAAGGTCCCAGGTTCGATTTCGGTCAGGGGCATGTGCCTGGGTTGCGGGCGCATCCCCAGTGGGAGATGTGCAGGAGGCGGCTGATTGATGTTTCTCTCTCATCGATGTTTCTAGCTCTCTATCTCTCTCCCTTCCTCTCTGTAAAAAATCAATAAAATATATAAAAAAAATATATATATATACATATTTTTTATTTATCTCAGAGAGGAAGGGAAGACAGGGAGACAGAAACTTCAGTGATGAGAGACAATCATTCATCAGCTGCTTTCTGATGCCCCCCACTGGGGATTGAACCCACAACCCGGGCACATGCCCTGACCAGGAATCGAACCATGACCTCCTGGTTCATAGGTCGATGCTCAACCACTGAGCCACGCTGGCAGAGCAACACTGTTCATTTTTTACCTCTTTCTAGATGTGTGCAATCTTTGGGTTCTTATGTTGTAGATGAAAATAACTCCTCTGGGTTTCGTGCTTCTTCCTTTACATGTCTTATGGACTCGCCTACACAAATCTATTTACTTGGATGGCACTTAGCAGTTAGGCCAAGTACAAAGGAGCAGTCACTTTTAGTGCCTTATTTTTCCTCAATATATTTGATCAGAAATTGGATGAACCTCCGGGATGCTGAGACAGGGAAGATACTCTGGCAAGGAACAGAAGACCTGTCAGTCCCTGGAGTGGAGCATGAAGGTACTTTCCGACCCTTTGTCTGCAAAGCTCTTGATGACTGGGGAGCAGGACCTAAGCATTAGGGAGTTAAGTCAATGCAGACTAATAGGAGGGTGAGCCCTGGAGGCACAGCACATTCATCTACATGTTACTGAGATTTCTAGTTTCTTAAGTTTCTGTCTCCTACTTCCCAGAACCCACTTTGTGTTGAAATTTTAGCTTTAGAATATACCCAAGGATATAAACTAAGACTCAACTTTTTTTCCCCAAATAAAATTTGCATTTTCATTTCCCTTAAATAAAAAGAAAAATTGGTTCTAAGGGGTTAAAACCAATAGGACAGAGTAGAGAGAAGGTGCCCTTTCAGCCCCTTTCCTGATGACAGTAGCTAGGTAAGGCCTTTAAATGCACTAAATCTGATGTGCCTTGATAATCTTTCAGTCAAATACACTTTACCAATTGGGGACCTCTTTAACTAAAAAGTATAATTCTGTTGCTAAGGCATTCTTTGAAATTTAACATAGAAAATGGGCTCTCTAAATCAGTTTCCAGAAACTTGAAGCACCATAGTAATGCGCTTTAATTTAGAATGGCTTCAATATTTCCTTTTCTTTACCAGCCCGTGTTCCGAAGAAAATTCTCAAGTGCAAGGCAGTGTCTCGAGAATTGAACTTCTCTTCAGCAGAACAAATGGAAAAATTCCGCCTGGAACAAAAAGTTTACTTCAAAGGGCAATGCCTAGAAGGTATTCTGCTGCTCCGTGCCTGAAATCCAGGCTTAGGGTGACAGGGACAAAAGGCAAGACGCAATGAGCTATAAAACACTGCTTTAATAACATTCACTTTGCAACTCAGTTTGTGACAGGATTCCTACACCCTGCAAGATTGGGGACCCCCAGTGAGAATAAACAGAAACAAAGCTGGCACTATAAGGGGCTTTGAGCTCAACAAAAGGTTTCTGACTGTTTGGGCCAGGCATCGGTGCCTGCTTTGTCACTGAGGTGGTATTGTAACACGGTCACAAGAAAGCTGCTGATTAGGGCCTGGTACAGTGCTCTCCATACAGTCTCACAGATTTGACTGGCAGGGCCACTCTGCATTGAGTTTTCACCATGAAGTATAAGAGTGCACATATGTGTTCCTAGAGCTAACATTCCAAGTGAAAAGGCCTATTCTATACTTCTGTTCTATACTTTTATTTACATCCAGCCTTACTTCTAAGACAACTTTGTTTATACTATATTCACCCACTGGTCCTAGTTCTTTAGACTCCAGAGCATAGGGACTAAGCCTCTGGTGTAGTTCAGAGGACAGCCGAAGGGAGTCCTTTTTATGCCTCTGTCCTGGGAGGTTTCATTGGTGATTCTCAAAGTAAAAAAGAGGCTCACTTTAAAGGAAAGGGACAAGGAGCCCTGAGACTCTATCTGGGATGTCCACTGATCCATTTTCCTTCTTCCCACAGAATGGTCCTTCGAGTTTGGCTTTGTGATCCCGAACTCCACAAACACCTGGCAGTCCCTGATAGAGGCAGCACCTGAGTCCCAGATGATGACCGCCAGCGTGCTAACGTGAGTGAGCAGGCCACAGGAATTGTGGATGTATCTAGAAGCAGGCATTCCAGGCAGGTGGGACTCATGGTCCTGTTCAGTGGGCAGGCAACCTACTTTAAAAAGAGGCTAAAAGAGTATCCAGGGGTATCTCACTTTACAGGTCCTGACTTTTGTCATGTGAAAAAGGCAGCATGATGGATTGGAAAGGATAGAAAACTTTAGATTAGACCTTTAGACTAAATTCCTGATTAAACTTGACTAAATATGTAATCTTGGACAATCTATTTTACCTCTCTGGTCCTTATTCTTCTCTCTAAATATAGAATTAATAATTCTCTCTCACAGAGGTGTAGTGAGAATAAAGTGAGATGACATAGAAGGAAGCTGGCATGTAATCTATATTATATTAAATCCATGCTAATTTCTTCCCTTTCCTGACTGCCAAACTTTTGGTACTCTGTACTTCGTTTGAATAGCCTTTAACAGAATCTGGTAAAGTCCTAATTCTGTTTTAGAGGATAATGTTTGGTTATAGTTTTTCATTATACCTTACCGTTTTTAATAGCTGTGCGTCCTACTCAAATAATAATTACTTTGTCCTTTGTCCAAAAACACTGTGAATAACTACCCACCTACCATTTTATCTTAGGAAAAGATATTTGTCTTTCAAAGGTTTTAGTAAAGTCCCTAGTAATGAGTTATTCACACAGGTAATTGTGTAATGTTGGATCATCTCTCTAAACAGGCCCTAAAGCCATGTTGAATTTGTAAATAGAAGTTATATATAAGTCTTTAGTAGTTTTTTAATTACAACAGTAGGTATTTTTATATTCTATAAACCAGTCAGATCTTGAATTATTTACCTATCTTATAATTAATTATCAGCAAAAATGTATCTTCTGGCTATTAATTACCCTGGGAAAATACAGCGTAGTATGCAGAAGGGCATTTTTTAAATTTTATTAACCATAATCTGACTTCTTGGCCAGGCCTGATTTCTTTTAGGTACTAGAACCAGTAAGTCTTTGACAATATATTTAGGTTATTGAAGTCATATGTTACTTTTTAGACCCCTAAAACAGTACCTCTGTTGCCCTTAACTCGGTTCCCAACACAGATCTATCATTTGGGGTTCTTTCGTTGCCAGCCATAGAAACTGACCCTGGCTAACATGACAGAAAGGGCTGAGCTCCTGGCAGCTTGAAGGATGAAGGTGGCAAAAATCTGTGGGTGTTTTCCTCAAGGAGCAGCCATAGGGAAGGATCCTGCTCAGGGGAGAGAACCTGATTGGCCCAAATTACGTCCTTTGTCCACCCTTTTGCCAGGAGAGGGAGGAGCCACTTGATGGACCCTTGGACTGGAGATGGGTGGTTCCCCAAAAGAAGAGCAGAGTGCTATTACCTGAAGTGAGGAGAACAGATGAAGGACAGACCAACCCACAGCAGTGTTGTAGGGAAAGACACCACCTCTGTGTATCAGAAAATCAGTATATTTATAAGCACCCCTCTGTGCAGAGCATTCTACTAAGGGCCTGAAGTGTACCAAGGATTAAGACATGCTCTCTCTTCTGATTTCTGAACTTGAGGAAGACAAACCTAGTCACATAAGTTTAATGTCATATTAGACTTCTACCCCATGTAGACACAGATTTGAATGTCCCCAAGCCAAGGTGCTAGGTGGGTATATGTCCAGGGCCCAGCAAACCCAGATTGAAATCACTTTCTGGAAATGAAATCTGTTGCCTAACACATCGCTCTTTTGCCGTCTCTTCTTACTCACAGTGGGAATGTTATCATAGAGACAAAGTTTTTTGACGACGATCTTCTCGTAAGCACATCCAGAGTGAGACTTTTCTACGTTTGAGAGAAGAATGTATTGCATTTTAAGAATTTGGGTTTTGCGGGGAACAGAGGAAACTGTTTACTTTTTTCCTCCACACATTTGATTTTTGACACTTCCGCCCCTAATTCCCTCTACAACAAAACCCACCTGCGGCCACAAGGGGACCAGCTCTGCACTCAAGCTGCCATCTTCCACTGACCAGGCTAACTCCCCACCTCAGACCAGGGCAGAGGGCATGCCTCAACTCTTTCCCAGGGTAAACATGGGACAAACACACACCAGGAGCCAGTGCAGGAGCCAGTGCTGTTCCTGTCATCCTCCCTGCCTCCTCCTTGGGTCCTACAGGGCACGCATCTTCTTTGGCCCCTGGCTTTGGAAAAATTCATGTTCTTGACCCATATTTAGTCTTTTCCTACCTTTTCTATTTCATACATTCTCATACATTTAACTTGTAAAATAGACTGTGATATTATTATGTAATGAATTGAAATATGAATTAAAATATTCCTACAGTCTTTAACATGGCACTGCTTTCATCTCTCCTTTTTCTGGAACACAAACTTGGCTCCATGATGAGAAAAATGACATTTATCAGACCATAGGATCGCAATTCTGTTTTAGTCCAGAGACCAGATGATAGATCTTATGGTTCCTGAGTGCTTCAGTTCCTGATTTCCAATAATATAAAACGTACCTGAGCAAGACCAATGACCTTAATACTTGTCTTTTAGACATTATATTTAGTGGTTCTCTTTCACAGCATACATGCACCCTGTCTTTGTTGGTTTGTTGTTTTTAACTTTTTCTATTTCTTTATAATGTTCATTTGTTGAAGAGGTTTCCAGAAAGGGTAGATGTTCTAAGTTGGTAGGGTAGGGACTCATTCCTAAATGAGAGAATAAGTTACAGAGTGAAGATCCTCCTGAAGTTGACTGGAGAACACTGGGGAAGCACCTGGGATGCTGGGAGCCGTAAAAATTTGTCAGAGAAGTTCACGTGGGAGAGAAGTGATTATACATCTACAGTACTTTCCAGTCTGATGTGAGAGAGAACATTTAAAGGGGTTCCTTTTTAGGAACTTACCTCTGAGCTACCAGTAGCCTCCACTGTCCTTTATAAAATACCAACAATTAGTCCCTGGCCAGGTAGCTCATCATCCCAATATGCCAAGGTTGCAGGTTCAATCCCCGGTCAGGGCACATACAAGAATCAACGAATGAATGCATAAGTAAGTGGAACAACAAATCAATGTTTCTTTCTTGCTCACTCCCTCCCTTCCTCTCTCTCTAAGAAAATTAAAACAATCAATAAATATACCAACAATTAAAAGTTTTCCGGTTCCCACAGTAGTAAGGCCCGGGGCAAGGAGAGTACACTCAGAGACCTGCCCTCTGCCGTAGCCCCTGCTCCCAGTCCCTGCTCTGTTGCTGAAGGGGCTGTTTGCATTGGTGGAGGGGAGGAGCTGTACATTTTTAGTATATTATTGCCATCATTCAGGGACAGTTCTGTCCCTCACAGTAGATCTGTTGTCTTTAAAAGCTAATTTTTAATTATCAAAGGGAAGCCTGCCCCTTCCAGCCTGGTATAGGATGGAGAGGAGAAATGAGGATGCAGGACAAAAAGATGACATCCTTGTTCTCCACCCCCAGCCATGGGTGGGAGGGGTGGGTAGAAATATCTGCCCAGGTGTGGGGGAAAGATGAGAACTTCAGAAAGTTAGTGGGGAAGGATGAGCTGTCCCACAACATAGTGGTCCAGGCCTATTGACTTTTCTTCCTAAACATGTCCCCCATTGTCGTCTTTACCCCTTCCCTGCTCCGCAGTTCCTATAACCATCGGGCTGGTCCAGTTGATGGCATTGCCTCCCCTTCTGATTTATCCTTCACAACCAGAGAGAGCCCCAAGATGTGCATCTGACAGTCAATCCCCTTTGTATTACCAAGTTTATTTTTAGGACTTCTGGCTTAGTGACCTGGTTGTTGTTTTGTGGCTTTCAAAGTGCCCTGTTAAAATGGTCCTCAAAGTGAAGACATCATCTGGCTTTGCAGTTCTTTTTGGTGCTTTTATTTGGTCTGAAACTGAGCAGCTTTGACTGTAGCTTTGAATAAACTGAGGGGCAGAATGGAGTGGAGTGAAAAGCAGAAATTTGGTGAATACATTTGGTTCCCAAACTGTACACGAAGGTACCCTGTAGCTCTGCAGCAAACTCACAGAGGTGCTACAGGATCTTTTAATTTTCAAAGGAAATACAGTGATACAGGACACCTGTCATATATTGCTCAAACTGTTAGCTCAGGAAAGTTCAGTTTCAACAGTAGAACACACTACGTTCTTTTTCAATGAGGTATCTTTGGTAAACCAGGTTTTTGAAGGTTTTGGTGATAAGAAGCAACTACTACCCTTCAAAAATAATGTGACTAGAAAATAAGGATGGTGGTGTCCAGTCTGATTCCAAGGATTAAGAAACTGTGCTGTGCCCAACAGGCATACCCATTAGGAGGTCATTGTGATTATAAAGAAATAAAAATATTTTTTCTCTCAATTTATATGGCTTTTTTTTCCAAAAAATAATATGGCAGCCACTGTTAGAACTGAAGTCATTTGAACCTAACTGTTTAATAAAGGGAATTATTAGTTTGGTGGGGGTTTTTTGCCTAAATAATGTAAGTGAAAAGTTACTGAGACACTAAGGATATAGTGAGCAGAGAATGTTTGGGGACCTCTGGTAAGCCCTTGGTTTTAAAATATGCCTTTCAGAGAGTTAGAAACATACATCACCATTCTGGCCAACAGGTATTGTCTACCCACTTCTGAACTCTAGGCAGCTCTTGGTTTACGGAATACTTTTGAATTCTTGTACTTATTATAGGAAGTATATTTAAAGAAAAAGAAGACATTTACTCAGATTTTTTAGAACAGCTTTTAAGTGACTTGATTTATTCAAATCACCCCCAAATAGCTCTTCTCAATTATAAGAGGAAAAGCAAAATTATTAACACTTGAATTTTTAATTTGTATAACAAGCATTACTTTCATTTTAGGTTAACATATGTACACTCGAGATAAACACTATGCTATTTGAATATTTTATAGTACATGGGGTACCCCTATATAATGGCACTCTACCTGCTCAGTCTAACTAGTTAGAGAACTTAGAATTTTATTTTACTGTTTTATGTTATTACAGAGGTTGACAATGGTCACTTATTTTTTTTCCATGGTGTATTGTTGGCTCTACATATCCTTTACTCGTGGCCCAACCCTGGGTAAGGACTGGAATCCAAATCATCTCTTCCAGCAGATGTCTGCCAACTTTTAATTGGCTTATATTCAGCAACAAGCTACAGTTCATTTGGTACAATTAGGCTAAGGTCAAAAACAGTTTTCCTGGAGGGCTTACATTCACTTAAAAGTAAACATTTTAGCCCTAACCAGTTTGGCTCAGTGGATAGAGTGTTGGCCTGAAGGGTCCCAGGTTCGATTCCGGTCAAGGGCATGTACCTTGGTAGCGGGCTCATCCCCAGTGGGAGGTGTGCAGGAGGCGGCTGATCGATGTTTCTCTCTCATTGATGTTTCTAACTCTCTATCCCTCTCCCTTCCTCTCTGTAAAAAAATCAATAAAATATATTTAAAAAAAAAAAAAAGTAGACATTTTAGCCCGGCCGGCATGCCTCAGTGATTGAGCTTTGACCTATGAACCAGGAGGTCACGGTTTGATTCTTGGTCAGGGCACATGCCCAAGTTGCCAGCTCGATCCAAGGCAGCTGATCAATGATTCTCTCTCATCATTAATGTTTGTCTCTCTCCCTCTCTGAAATCAATAAAAAATATATATATTTTTTAAAGTAGACATTTTATTATATTGAAATGGTTTTATGTCCATAGTGATCCTCAAACCTTCCCAGGCCCAAATGATATCATATGGCACAGAATTCTGGGACCTCAGCTGTGGGTTTGGGAGGAAGCAAACAATCTCACTGAGGAAAACCATGCCTCTGCCCACAGGCACCTCCTTGGCTTCTCTGGGGAGGCCTGCAGCCACTGGAAATGCCACTTCTAAAAAATGTTCATGTTTGTGATTTTTTAAAAATACTAGTATATTTGTGTGGATTTCAGAGAGGAAGGGAGAGGGAGAGAGAGAAACATCAATCATGAGAGAATCATTGATTGGCTGCCTCCTGCACGCCCCACACTGGTGATCAAGCCCACAGCCCAGGTATGTGCCTGACCTAGAACAAAACAGTGACCTCCTAGTTCATAGGTTGATGTTCAACCACTGAGCCACACAAACTGGCCAGGCCATGTGTGTGATTTTGGCAGACGCTTAAGCAGAGCAGGAAATTAATAAAAAGCCCACCCACATAATAATGGGGCCCATTTGCCGCCAAGGTCAGGAAATGTTATATTTTTAAAATGGATTCTCCAAGGAAAGGAATCAGTGGTTCCTGGGAGAGTTGCTTAGGAGAGGTTGACTAGTAGAGAAGCTTCAAAGCTCCCTAGGGACAATGTTGACAAAAGATAAGAATGTAGAACCCATTGTCACCTCTCCCAAGGGACTGGAACCCATCTTTCCTCAGCACTCAAAACTAGGTGACTACCTAGCATCACTGTCCAGCAGGCCACAGCCCCAGGCTCCTTTGGAAACCACAGGAGTAGGACTTGGGACATTTTGAGGAGATTGGAGAGAAGGACTCAGAGAATAATTATATGGGAAGGGTAGAAGTTTTCCTAGAATGAGTTGCAGATGAATTTCTAGGTCAAAAATGTATGTGCATATTTTTTTGGATCTTGATATATAGGGTTATTCCAGAAAGATTTGTATCAGTTTCCACCCTTTGCTGTCCCCCCACCTACTGATACAGGTCATCTCCTGGGGTGTGTTGACAAGGGACACCACCATGAGCACAAAGCCCCAAACCACATGCAGCTGAGGAAGCCTGCATGAGTCCCAGGCAGTGTTCTAAGAGCAATTCCCAAAGGAATCCTTTCCCATCATCTGTTTAGTTCAGCAAATGGAAATTCCCTGAACCCTGGTGAGGGTCCTTGTGCCAGATCAGCTTTTTTCTGGGCACTAGTATCCTACAATATAAGGCTTTCTGAAAAGAAAAAAAAATCCAAGTAAAATAAATTTGGGACAGCCCTAGCTGGTTTGGCTCAGTGGATAGAGCATCAGCCTGCAGTCTGAAGGGTCCCAGGTTCAATTCCAGTCAAGGGCACATGCTCAGATTGTTGGCTCAATCCCCAGCAGGGGGCGTGCAGGAGGCAGCCAATCAATGATTCTCTCTCATCATTGATGTTTCTCTCTCTCCCTTTCCCTTCCTCTCTGAAATCAATAAAAATATATATTTAGTAAATAAATAAATAAATTTGGGACAAGCTGCATGTTAAACCTTCCTCTTAGAGACTCCTTGGTATGTTAAAAACCCAGTGAGTTCTACAGAAAGAAAGCCCTTTTAACATTGCTTACCTAGCACTATTCCACACAGGATGGATCTCACCTCTTAGGCATATCTTCAGGCAGAGAG